CAGGCGGCAGAGTTTTAGATCAGCTGGATTTTGTGGATGGTGGAGCTGGGAAGACCAGTGAGGAGGGCATTTGAAGGAGGTGACGAACATAAAGACATTGTAAAGCAGCATAATTAAATGATTCACCTAGATAAGCATTATTGCAAAGAAAAACAGTGACCATGAAAGTGTAAAAACATGATTCTGTTGTATTGCACTTCCTTAGTAACTCTTTTGATGCTGTACTTGTAAGTAGAAAGTAGCTTTCCTGTTAAGGTGGTGCTGTTATTTCTAAAAATCAGTAACTCACTGGTTTCTGCATTAATCGCACATGAGCTGAAGATGTTTATATCTGTAGAATTTGTTTTTAACAGTCACTGAACACTGCAGCTTCTTTGTCATGCCTACGATGTATGATGTATCCCCTAAATAATGGTTTCAATCATTCCTTTTAACTTTCTTTTTAGCATATAGGACAAGAACAGACACCTTGGTATACTTGATCCTGGTATATTACAGGAAGTTGATGGCATCTGTCAAATTGACATGTTTTTTTACTTTTTATAACAACTAAACTATCCTCTGACAAAATGAGTATAGGCATAAACGTAACTGTTTTAGTGGCCACATTCTGTGTGTTTACTCGGTTGAATGTATGAAGTCAATGTTTTAAAGCAAATAGCCTAACATTTTTCAGAAAACAGAGCTGGGTTGTGTTAGAAAGTATGTTTAGTCTGAAGTATGCACAATAGTTGCTATTGGTGCAATTATTTCTGTAGGATGAATTCAAATTAGAGCAAAATGCATTTGCATTTTAATTCATTATTATCTTCAACATTGGCTTTCTTTCCGTACTTCATAGACAAGTACCAGTGGAAATTAGTAACTGAAATGTTAACTTGTATATGCAAATCTAAACAAGCGGCAACTGTATACATATACAATGGATTCCTTTATAATTCATTATTTGAGAGCCCATTTCAAAACAGGATCACTGTTCATGAAAAAATCACAAAAAATGTTGCGTGAGAAAGACTTATAAAGAGGGGTATTACTAGGGAGTGGGGAGAATTGACTGTACCAAACAATACTTCAATTAATTCCTAATAATAATAGTAATAATAATCCTTGTATTTGATGTAGCGCCTTATCATATCTTTGAGACGTTTCAAAGCATTTCACAGATTATACTGTAAAGTGAATTGACTGTATATTTTGTGAGCAACATGCGGCAGCCAATTGCACACAGCAGTGTCCCACAAACAGTTGTGAATTGAGTGACCAAATTATTATTAATTTTTTTGAAGGGATTATTGACCCTGGAAAAGCGATCCGTTAATTGACTAACAATCGGGTTCATACTTACTGCTAGGTAAACAGAGGCGTGTGGATTAAGGAAACGTGCGAACGTTTCACCCTGCTAGGGAATCAAACCCAGGTCCTCTCGCTTGTGAGGCAAGTGCTCTAACCACTAAGCTGCAGGACTCCACAAAGAATTCTTTATAAAGGCTAGATAAGTGAACATAGCAAACATTATGTCTGTGTCAAATGCACAGATTTATGGGCTCAAATCTATGTACTTTATACTCATTGATTGCCAAGTTAAGATTGGAACTATTATAAAAGTTCCACAATATATTAGATACAATCAACTGATAACATAGCAACACGCATTGCAAATAAAGAACCCATATATCCTCATGATCAAAACACGTGCTGAGACTTTGCTGAGTGCTGTTTGAATTATCTGAAGGATACAATTCAATAGGTTAAAGGAGCAACTACAATGTGAAGGCCAGCAAGTAAAATCCCAGTTATGTATAAGTAATTAATGAGTAGGTGCTGATTATTGGTGACGGAAGGATAGTTTTAATCTGACACCCAACAATTCAGGTAATGGGTCCACAATACACCTCTTTTATCTTTTACAGCATCATAGCAATTACATTGCTGGCCAGGTTCTAAAATCAGCGTAAAGACCAATGAGGATAATCTGCAGTATTCGAGGGATGTGCTATTAAGAATAACTGGACAATCTAGTCTTTTCAGTCTTGAAAAGAGCACAATCAAAGAGGACCTTATAGAGGTATATAAGAGGTTAATTGGGATTAAGAAATTAAACCAGAATAATGCCGTCAACTATGGAAGTCACTTGGATGAGGTAGAACATGTTCAGGGTTATGAACATTAATTTGAGAGCAGACACCAGAACATATTTTTTTATAAACAGGGAAATTACCAGGAAAGGTGGTGGGGGATGCATACTGGACATGTTTAAGGCCCTCTTGCTGCCATGGAAGCCTGGTACAGTGGATATTGTTCTATGATTATTCCCCATTGTAGTTAATCAGTGGGCAGTACTGATGGTTATCTTTGCAGTCATGAGAATTCTTCAGCAAGTCATGTCTAGTGTTTCTGTCCAAAGGTAGAACGGAATTATCATAAGTTTAAAGTACAATGTTCCTATCAACAAAAGTATTCAGCAAAGTTTTTGCACCTTATTTATCTGTTCTTCTTTTCTTGAAGTGTTTGATCATGCTGGTCTACAGTTCTATCTGCTAGAATCCTGATTGACATTTCCATTGGTAACTGAGGGGACTCAAAACCAATGCTAATGTCCTACCTTTAGAAAACCCCAGTCTCCTTTCACCCTCATATCTTTTCAACATTCCAACCATCTATCAACCTACCCTCCACTATTGCAAAGCCCAGCCTCACTTCAGTCTCAAGCTTCTCAAATTCTCAGTCACTTCTTCCCCCTACCCCCACCTTTTCAGTCTTTACTCACCCTAACCTTTTCGAAGTTGCAGCCTCCTCTCAATCCACCCTTTACAGGAATCCAGTCTCCTCTCACCCAAAGCTCTAAATTTTCAGGTGCTGGTTTTGTTCTTATCCTGCCCTCTTGCCTAAGCTCTTTGAACCTGTCTTTAAGATATATTACAGTAAATGGGTTTGTGGAAAATACAGTAGTTTTCTCAACATTTCAATGCATTGTAAATAATGTCTTAGAAGAACACATTTCACTGTTTGTTCCACTATTTGTAAAACTAAAATATTGGAAATGTGATACTCCAAAACACGCAGTCATTCCACTTTACAATATGTAGCACTTTGTGGGGGTACTCCTGGCATGAAAGATGCTATACTAAATGCAAGGATTATTATTACTGAAAAACAATCTTGTAAAAATAAGTTTGATTTTTGATGATCTTTCCACATGTATTAACAAAAATCCTTCCTGTCAGTGGAAATTGCTATAATATATTAAAGAGCAGCTTTGAACATGGACAGTTACAATGATCCTGTATATTGTAGTGCTTTTCTGTGATAATTTAGTCCATTACTCCATAAAGATGTCATTCATTTCCCACAACCTTTGGGTATAGTATAATTCTGTCACTAACAACGTGCTGTTTGGCTGGCTTCCAAGTACTGCATTACACCATAGCTTCCCATTAATGTTTAAAGATAACATTAAAGCCTACTAATAAATTAAAGTTTTGTGCACAAGATAAGTGGAATTGCTGGGTCAATACACTTCACCTATGTTGTATTACAGCTGTTGCAAGCTAAGTATTTCATGTATTATAGCAAAATATTCACTCTGAGAATGTCTCACAAGTAGCAAAAAACATGACCTGAAATGTCAGAGGTTTCAAACCAGTAGCTCACTAACAGATGTAACCCTATCCCTGTGAATATTAGGTAAATGTTGACAAAATAAATTTTTAGTAACTTAGATGATATTTGTTTTTCTTGTTTTCATTTTATGAAATTTCTTATATTATTCTTAATTTTAATACATTAGAAATTTGCCGTAATTGCACCCCACTAACATGATGAGTTTGTTGAGGTTGCGTTTCGCTCACGAAGTATACAGTCAATCCACTGTACAGAATATCCTGTGAAGTGCTTTGAGACGTGTTGAAGACGTGATAAGGCACTATACCACCCATCTTTATTATTTTCATTTCAGCATAATGTCAAAATTTCTCCATCCATTTGCAGATCCCATCAGTGAATTTCCATTATGGTTTTACTGCGGTTTTACTCCCCTGATCTTTCCTCCCACTCAAAATATACCAAACTACAATATTTTGCTTCTTCCTACACTTTGTTGCAATGAAATCAAGACTCAACGACAACTTGCATTTATATAGCACCTTCATGTGGGGTAGCATCATAGAGCACTGAATAATTGTGTAGTTTGGCCCTGAGCCGGTGAGAAAGGGAGGTGACCTTAGGCATGGTTGAAGAGGAAAGTCTCAGGTCTTCTGACTCAAACTTATTCTTTCATATGACGTGAAGACTGTAGAACCTCTGCCCTTCCTCCAACAATCTGCAGCCTTTTAAAACCCAGATTTAGCATTACTGAATCACTTATATTTCATCTTTTTCAATCTTGATATTCTCCTGTGCTATGCACCTTGATCCTTCATCTAGGTGTGTCAGTTAGAAAAATAATTTTGCTGTCTTTATATTATTGGAGCAAAGCCACTTCTATATCAGTAGTATTATAGTTATGTGGAGTAAGAAGCCTGGTTTACACATGCTATTCAGCAGCAAATTGAATTAGTACCTAATAAAACAAACAATATAGGTATTTTGCACATGCGCCTTTTAGTAGTTTACAATAACAGAATCAGGTGTTATTTTTTAATGTTATTAAAGAGCTGTTATATGATTTTTTAAAATTAACTTTTAAGTACAGTTTGTTGAATATTCATGTACTGTAAGTGGTTTCAATGGACTACGAGAGAGTGAATTCAGAGTGATTTATACAACAGAACCATTTCACTGCCAAAGTAACATTGTCACAATAATTCATCATCATATGTCAGTATTAGTCAAAGTAATTCAGATTTAATTTTCAAAATATGAATTTGAGAACTTCTATCTGTGTAGCTTTATTAGCTACTACCAAGGTGGATCATTTGAGTTGGATGAGGGTGTTCCACTTCAGCATATTATTCTATTACATTTGTGTGAAACTGCAATGATCTTGTGGTGGAATTCTGCAGGTTCTGGCAATGGGATTGAAGAGAAGACCAGTTCAAAGGTAGGAGCCACAGTCAGTGATGTCCCCAAGGGTATCAATAAGACTGGACTGCAGCCGCCAACCACTGTGCCAAACCGTTGGAGTTTACTTCCAGCACCTAAAACTACCGCAGCAGCAGGTGAGTGCTCATAACCTTTAATCAAATAAAATACCTGGAAGTACCTGCTTACATACTGATATAATTTCAGTGAAAGCAGATAGAAAGATCAGAAAGAATGAGTACTTCAATAAAGGTGTATAAAGACCCATTTGAGCTGACATTAATGTGTATTATTATAATAATAATAATAATAAGCCTTGCATTTGAGGATATCTCAAATTGTTTCATAGGATATAGTAATACTGTATATACAGTACTAATAATAGTTACATTTGATATAGTGACTTTCACATTGGGTGGATATCTCAAAGTCCTTCAAAGAATACTGTCTACATTGTCTACAATTCATTGTCTACTATCTGGACCACACTGTATAACTACGAGTTAGTTATTTCTTGATTATTGCAATAGTCAGAAATCCATACTAACTCACACATCAACTTCTACCAACAGCTTGTGTTTTCAAGGAATGCAATCAAAGCAACAACAACAAATAGCATTTATATAGCACCCTTCATTTCGGGAGGACGACCCAACATGCTAGACAGTCGAGGGTTTGCACATAAGCAGCATAAAATGCACTGGGGTAGCAATTCCACCTAGGTCTGTGTCCAGCGCCTTGGGACGTCCTCCCAAGGTGGAAGGCGCTATACAAATGTAATCTTGTTGTTGTTGATTTACTCTGTTTATGTAGAATTTCAGAGTGTTTAGAATTTGGCAAATTCTTAAATACAGTCTTAATTTAAGGATTGTTTTCTGCAAGTTCCTATAACATAAAACTAGCTTCAAAATTAAAACTGTATTTAAGAAATACTGAAAAAAATGGAGTAAATCTACATACACCCAGGTAGAATATCTACCCCAGTTTTGTTTTAAGTTAGCTATTTGGTTTTCAGATGAGGCACATTCTGGATTCATCTAGGTCCAGAAAGGATTCTGTCTGTGTTTCCAGTTACGATGCTTGCTGATAGATTCTGTAATTGGCAACAGGGGAACTATTCTTCGCTTATCGTTAAATTTACCGACCTTGCCTTTGTTTGACTGTAATGAGATTTCTCCATTATAAGCACACACACGCCAAGGTCGGTAAAATTTATCATGAAGTGGGTAATAAGAATAATTTCTCTTCTGCTCCTCCTACCATTGTTCAGCTTTCCAAGGAACCTGTTAGTGGGCTGAGGAAATTGAAGTATCTTCTACCAGAGACAAATATTTATAAAATTATTTTTAATCTAACATATATAGTATAGTATATAGAAATATATATAGTAATATAGTATTTTATGTTGAAAATACTTTTGCAGCTCCTTCCCATGATAGCCTTAAGATCATTTTGTCATTTTGTTGCGGGTTGAGTGGTCCTAGCTGGGCAAGCAACGGGAAAGCTTGCCAAACAGTGCTATCAATGGCAAACTATGCGGTTTGAGCTGATTAGACTCCAGCTGTACCCCAACGCTCCTGCCAACCTGCGCATAATACTTTCCAGAATTAGGTAAGCAGGGTCCCTCCAGAGAGAGAGAATACAATTCCATTCCAACAATCTATCTTTGAAATTTCCATGTGAAGGAGCATAGAGTTCTCAGTTTGATTTGGATACTCTTAAACATGGTGATGGGTTTCCGCATTTGTCAGACACCCGATTAATCAAGAAAAATCATTTTGTTTCATTCAATCAAGACCTCACTATAGTTTGTGGCTCTTTCATAAAAACATGATCTCTCGCATACTTTTATATCATTGGTTGGGACTGAAATATATATTAGAAACTTAGGAAAGTCTCTGTGTTACCTAAGTATGTCTACTAATCAATAGGCTGATAAATGTTCACGAAATACAGAATCAAGATTAAATATCAAAAATAAATGCAGTGAAGTGTTAGGAGCAAATATAAGGTTATTTTTGACATGGTCACTATTCACCATTAAATTGATATTTAATTCAAAAGGGGGATATTAGTGCTAGTTTGCAGACACCAAATATCACAAGGATTCATTGACCAACTAGAGAGATCTATTTTATTACCATCCATAGGGCAGCTTGATTTATGTTACTTGGTTCAAACTGCTCATACGCATCTAAGCTCAGGTAAGATGTCTGCCAACCTGACTTAGATTTTTAATACTATTAAAGAATCATTTAAGAAACCAAGTGTTAAGACCACATCACTCTCACACAGATGTAAACTGATCTGCACACTGTTACTGTGCAAGTGTGACCACAGACTTGTCACTTTTTGTTAGTTTTTGCCACATTGCACAAATTGACAAACAAATGGTGATTTAAAAGAGATCTTTATTTTTCAGACACATAATATATCTTTCTTTGAAATTTCCATGCGTAGGAGCATGGAATTCTCAGCTTGGTTTGGCGAGCATATAATGAACAAAATATAAAACAAAAAACAATAGAGTTATTTCAGATTTCACTTCAATAAGTAACCCTGACTGACAACTGACAACTGACTACCCTGTTTCCTACATGTAAGATTAAATAGCTCCTTCGTTCTGAGCTGGAATTCAGCCTTTCCACTGTAATTCAATGGTACTGGAATCAGCCCTCACTTATTATATCAAGGAAATGTATCATTTCTTGCACTTAAGGAACAGCTAACTAGGGAATTCCTGAGACTGCGATCCAGCCCAGCCAAGGGGTATTCGAAGCAGTGATAAAGCTGACAAAGGCAATATTTAAATGTTAGAATATGGAAAATGTAATGAGGACATAATTCTTTTTAACAATAATTTTTAACACCTTAATCAGGATTTAACAATCAATATGATAATCAATATATCAAAATGATCAAATAAAGAATAGAACAATTTGTTAACAATAGTAGTCCTTATTTGATATTGTGCTTTTCTCTTCAGGAGAACATCTCAAACTGCTTTGCAGGATATTCTATAATAATAATAACAATCCTTGCATTTGATTTTGACTATTTTGGAGGCAAACACAGGAGCCAATTTGCACATAGCAGTGTCCCACAAACAGCCATGATGCCAATTTTATTTGCCAAGAGAGAATCTTCCTTCTCTTTTCAATTGTCTTATGGTATGTTTAACTTCCACCTAAACAGACCGGTGGACCACGATTTAACTTCTCATCTGAAGGATGGCGCACTCGCAGCACTGTATTTTTGAAAGACATGCAGGTTCAGAGATGTTAAGTAGCTACACTCTCTTCCCACTAGGGCTACTAAAATGTCACACAAATGAAATTAATGATGCCAGATAACACAAAAATGTTACTTTAGATATTTTAGGTCAATAGAATAAATTGATATGGTGCCAAAATTATTTTTATAATAATAGTAATTCTTACATGTGGTATAGTGCCTTTGACCCTGGGAGGACGTCCCAAAAATCTTCACATGATCTAATGTAAAGTGCAGTGACAATGTGATTTGTGGGTGAGACTTGATTCAACTTCACTGCTTAACCTAAATAATCTAGGATTTAACAGTGATGTGCTGCAATTACAATTGCCACAAAACACACAGTATAATCTGAATTTTAGTAAAGGTTTGCAACACTTTTTACATGTCATGTTTCTTTCACAGTATTATTGATTAGGGTGCTCATGTGCCATATAACACCAGCATGGACTAGTTGGGTTGACTGCTCCTTCGGTTACCCTTCTACCCTTACCCTCCCTGCCCTCCACCCTCCTGATCCCAATCCCCAGCTCGGTTCCAAATCCTGACTGTCCAATACCTTGAGATGTTCCTGTTGAATGGTCTGTTTCCGTACCATATCCAGACTTTAGGTGCCAAGCCAGTATTGTAAAGTGTCTTGGGATGTCTTCCTGACATAAAATGTGCTATATAGAACCAAATTTGTGTTCTATTATTATTACCTTTCAGCATTTCCTCAGTGTAATTCTTGAAAAATGCATAATAGAGAATGTAAGCCCATACTTACCGAGGTCTGATATGCAACAATTACTGATGATATTTCTGAATAAGACAAATGAATAGGGGCTCCATATGTCACACCAACTCAAGTAACTGCTCTGAAACTAGATTGTATGAGAACGGAGTTCCTGTAGTCAGCATGACATACTTCTGGTTTCTTTATTAATGGATGTAATTTGTTGCGGTTATAAGGAATCCCATTAGAAATTGTTGTATGTTAGACACCTATTGTGTAGGAATTGAATGTAAAATTTAGGGCTGTTCCTGTGCCCTTTTAGTTGAAGGTAATAACGGGAGTGTTGAAGATTTAGGGCTGTTCACCTCTTATATTAAGATTTTTTTTGCAAGCCTGGAAATTGTTGGTATAATATTATTATGATATTAAATGGGATACATTCAGTGGAATGAATAGGAAAATATGTGGTATTTGGGAATTATAAAAAGCTCATATAAATCAATTTTTAATAAGTATTTCTTTGCATTTATAATTTTCCATCATGTTTTATTGTTGTAATTATCCCTTGTCAGCTTTGAAACAAATCCCTACATACCACTGAACTTTCTAGAATCCTATTAGAGCTAGTTCTGTAGGTATTTGTAAAATAACGGCTGTTTGAAGTGCTAAATCAATTGTCCATGACTGGTAAATGTAATTAGCTGCTTCATTATTTACTCTGCTGCTTTTATATTCCCTTGTACTGGGGAGATAGCTGCAGAGCCAACCAGTTCAGATAGCACTGTTATCAAGGGACACTTCAACAGTTGGAACAACATGTTTGACTTGACATTTTGGTGCTGATAACAGCACAATTTTTAAATTACTTCTGAGGATTAGACGTTTGAGGTTCTTCCACTGCATTACAAATCAAAACCTCTTAATGTAAGTAATGATTTCAAATAAAGTAAATTCGTTGAGAGTAAAATAAAATTAACATCATGGTTTGTCCACAATTTCATGATAGAAAGGCAATAGCCTCCTTATTACAATTATTATTAAATGTAAAGATTTGATCTTTGTTTTATAGAATATTTTCAGTTCCATCTTGGCCAATGATAAACAGTTATTACTATTGTATTTATCAGACCCTTGAATAATGATAGAAATCGTTTTAATTCTTCACATTTTATGAAATAAAATAGACTCTGAGATAATGTGAATAAAATAATTCTGTCTTTTAATAACTTTCATATATTTTGTAATTTCTATTTTATTAGTGTAATCCATTAAGTCGAAATGACCTTCTGTAGTGCTAATTGCATGTAAGCTGACAATGAAAATATATACCGTAAAGTGAGTGTTTGCCTACAAAATACAGTCACTCTAATAATAATAATTTGCATTTGATATAGCACCTTATCACATCATTCAGACGTCTCAAAGCGCTTCACAGAATATATTGTAAAGTGAAGTGACTGTATTTTGTGGGCAAAATGAGGTAGCCAATTGCTCACAGCAGTGTTTCCCACAAACAGCTGTGGAATAAATGAACAATTTATTTATTTTTTCCTCTGAAGTATTTTCAGAAATACAGAATATATTTTCCATTTCTTTCGTTAGCCTCACGACTTTTTCATTTATCAGTGTTTATAGAAAATTAAACTTCTCTGCCATCTTTATACACCTTAGCCTGAGGTAGGGATCTCATAATAATAATAATCCTTGCGCTTTTCACATCTTCTAGATGTCTCAAAGCGCTTCACAGAATAGACTGTGAAGTGAATTGACTGTATATTTGTGGGCGAAATGCGGCAGCCAATTGCGCAAGCAGTGTCCCACAAACAGTCGTGGATTGAAATGACCAATTTATTATTGTTTTTTGAGGGATTATTTTCAGGCATGTGGAGTAAGGAAACTTGCTCAAGGTTTCATCCTGCTGGGAATCGAACCCAGGTTTCTCGCTTGCAAAGCGAGTGCTCTAACCACTGAGCTACAGGACTCCACAATGTGTGATATGTGATACTTGCACCAGTTCAGTGAACCACTAGGCAAAAACTCACTAAACATGACAAATACACTCAAACCGCATTTTTGCTGGAGCTTTTATTTATGGTCTTTTAGTGAAGAGTTCAATTCCCTTCCCCCAGAGGTATAAGGCCACCCACTAACCGAAAGTTTCAAACTTGATTTACTAAGTGACTTCCATTTTTCACGTATCCTCGTATCACGATAAGCAAAGCAGAACAAATTTAAGTAGTACTTAGCTGAGAATGTCTGGAGCATTTAACTTAATATCCATTGGCAAGAGAACATTTCAGAGGTGTTCTGGGTTTAGTAGTTGTATTCCATTGTTATTTACTAAGCCCTCAACACATTTTCTTTTCATAGCTTTTCTTCCATCTAGTTTTTTGGATACTGTGGCTGCCTGTTATTGTTTGCCCTAGTTAGGTAGTTGAGTAGATTTTGACAGTTCCGAGCCAAACATGTGGCTTGAATACCACACAATAGTGAGGTGTTCCAATTTGGAAACAAAAGGTTGAGATGGAAAACTTTCCCCTACATAAGAACATAAGAAATGCTAGACAAAAAAAGACCAAGGTCCATCTAGTTCGCCTACAACCTTACTGGCAGTCACATGCACATATGTCCCGAACTACCTATATACTATATCCCATATTGTTATTTCCTAAAAGAAAAATAAGAACATAAGAAATACTTGTCTACCTCTTACCCCTACTTCTATCTGCATAGGTACATAATTAACAGCAGAAGTTTGTGGGTCGGAATGTTATGCCATTTTGGTTGAAGACAATGTTTGAAGATAACAGTGTACAGAAAAAAATACCCACAGTAATCCTTATAAAATTGCATGTAATCTTTAAAAATGGCATTGCTAATATATGAATATTGCTGATATGCATCTTCATTTATCAAATGTAGCTGTGTACAATGATGAGTATCTAATAAATTATTAATTCTCAAAACAGCAATGAAGAAGGATGTACAAAAGGATCATGATGTTCAAAAGCCGAATATTTCATCACCCAAAAGGCTTGGTATATCTGCAAGTAAACTTCATTCGCCAGGTATATATATCTGTAATAAGTGCTATTTGAGTATGAGAATGTAATAATCAAATCAGCATAAAGCTTTAGCGTCAGGCAACTTTGAGCAGGCTTTGTATCTAAGCTGCTTCTTCAATCAAATCATTTTACTTTACTTTGGAAATACAATATAGCAATTTTAATACCAATAGATGTTCAAGTTATGTGACTTTCTAAACTGACCTTCAATCATTTTCATCAGCTTGCCTTAACATGTTTGTGGTGGGAATTTGGTGGGTATTCTTTATATTTTCAATTTGTATTATTTATGAAAACTACCTTTTATAAATGAGCTACTTATCAGAAGATTAAATGAAGCAATTCTCTGCAAGAAATAACACTCCAATATAACCAGTAAATACATCCATTATGCATTGACTAGAGAACCCAGCCCTTCTGCTGCCTCAGCCTGGGCTTTTGTTTGAGGGCTGCATCGTCAGAATGATGCTTCATTTAGACTTCATTGATTTTCTAAAGATTAGGCTTAATCAGTAACAAAACATAGTTAATATCATTAAAAATATATACAAACATGTTCTTTGTGTGTTAACCATAGCAGATGATTGTTGCCTAGCATTTTTGCCAAAAAATAATAGGGCAAAATGCAACATATTGGCACAGCATGTTAGAGCATCAAGTTAATTCCTCAAGTTAAAAGTTCAATCCACACACTACTGTTATCAATCTTTGCTGCTGAAGGAGCGGGGCCTTGCTTCAGGGAAAAAGGAAAACTCAGCCAGTTCCAGAATGGTGTTGCTAGAAACAGGTTGTTTGCCTGTCTTGGTTACCATAGATATGTGACTACAACAAAACAAACAAAAGGATGATTGTAATGAAAAAGATACATGACATATTTCTACTTTTAAAGAACTCTAATGTGCAGTTTATGCCTCTCTGACTAACTTTCTTGCCACTGGTACTTTCTCTTTCTGAACACGTACTACAAGTCCACATCCTGTATTGTGTCCCACATCAGGAACTGCACATCCAACACCCTCATGGTCACCAGGTTCCACTAGCCGTCATTCCAATTAATCAACTTAAAATATCCTGAATATGACTTTCAGATTCCTTCACAATCCTACCCTATCCAATCTTTGTTTGAGTCCTGTTCTCCTGTCCATACTCACCACTTTTCCAATTCTAGCCTTCTGCTCATTCTTCAACAACAACAAATTGCATTTATCTAGTGCCTTTCATGTCAGGAGGACATTTTAAGGCATTGGGCAGTGAAGGGTTTGTACACGAGCTACAGGCTGGAGTCAAGAGGTGTGGAGGGCAAGGGGGTGGAGGTGGGAAGATGACTGAAGGTGTGGTCCCTTACCTCCTTCAAATTCTGTCTCAACTGCAGGTGACTGCAGTTCAATTCCAATTCCACTGTAGCATTTATAAGGCTGATTCCAATTAGAAGTCTGAATTTCTAAGTGACAGATTCTCAAAAAGATTCTTTGCAATTCCTATCATGAATTCAAGTTTGCTTACACATAAGTTTATGTAAAAGCTTGTGTCGAACTCCCTCCTACATAATTCTCAGGAGTAAAGGTTGAATCTTGATACAGTGGATTACAAACTTCATAGAGCCTCATGACTTCATCCCTGGCACATGAACAATAGATAATGGTTTAAATTTATGTGCAACACAGCCAAGGAATTCAGAACTACCATTGTTGAGCACAACTGTGCCAACTCTTTGTAATAACAGAATTTGTTTCTACAAAGTTGCAAGGGAATGCTGATATATCATGTATCACATTTCCAAAAGGAGAAATTTAACTTGCTAATTTAAAAGATTCTTCAGCATCAAATGTTAAATTTTATTATCCAATATAGTTAGCCCCACTTAGCTGCATGCATCACATGCTGCCTTCCTTTCTGCTTGTAAGTTTTGAAAAGTAATGTTTCAGCCTGATCCAATCCATACTTTGTGACCGGCCCACTCCATGTTCTCACAGACACTTCCAGGGAAGTGATTGATTAAGCAGCACAATATATACTTATGTAGCATTGTTTATGTTCCATGAATGTCGCAAAGCATTTCACAATAGTGATGGGGATCACTGAACAGGGAGGAAAAGAGTCTGTTTGAGGGTGTTGATCAACGAGAGACACTTTTAAGAGCATTTTAAAGCTAGGGAGAGAAAGTACAATGTGAAGGAATTTTAAGAGAGGTTGGGAGGTGCCAGCATGAAGGGATTTAATAAACAAGTGTGAGGATCTTAAAAATTATCCGTTCAGCGATAGGGAGCCAGTGTAGCCTGGCTAAGACTGGGGTATGGAGTTTAGTACGGGTGAGTACGCGGGCGGCAGAGTTTTGGATCAAGCTGGATTTTGTAAGTGATGGAGCTGGGGAGACCAGTGAGGAGGGCATTTGAAAAGTCAAGTCGGAAGGTGGCGAATGCGTGGACCAGTGTTTCGATTGCGTCTGAGGTAAAGGATGGTTGGAGGCGGGCAATCTGGCAGAGGTGGAGGAAGGTGGTTCTGGTAGGGAGTGTATGTGTGGAAGGAAGGACAGCTGTGGGTTGAACCTGACCCCTAGGTTGCACCATGGTTCAGTGAGTCCGAGGGATAGGCCGGGGAGGTTCATCTGGGAGAGGGCAGTTGAGAGGGAGGGGGCAGTAATCGGGTAAAGGAATGGAGGGAGAAGGGAGAAGTAGGGGCAGTTTTTTTTTCCTTTTACGTTGAAAATCCCTTCACAAGTAATCACGATTAAGTGCAATGATTGTGTATTTATTTGTCGGCAAGTGAAGCATTCAGTTTGCACAGTGAATGACTAATGTATCTGGAGATTTATTAGCCAAGACACCAGGATAAACTCTTTTCCCTTCAAATAATATCATGGAATTTTTAACAAAGATTTCTGAACAGACAGGCAACCTCAGGTTAGCATCTCATCCAATGGACAGCACCTCTGACAAGGTAGTGCTCCCTCTACAACAACAACAGCAAAATTACATTTATAGAGTGCCTTTCACATTGGGAGGACGTCCCAAAGCACTGAACAGTCAGGTGTTGGGGCCCGAGCATGGGGGAAGGCTGGTGTAGGGGTGAGGGAAAACAGAGAGGTGGGAGGGAGACCAAAGGCACAATCGAAGAGAAAAGTCTTGAGACCGGCCTTGAAGGAGGCAAGAGAGCAAGTGAGGCGGAGGGAGTGTGAGATGGAGCTCCAGTATGTGGGAGCAGAGAGGCTGAAAGCCCGGCCACCGATGGTACGGCGGGTCGGGCAGAAGACATGGAGCAGGCCAGAGCCCGATGAACGGAGGGAGCGGGCAGGTTGGTAGGGAGTCAGAGAGGCAGGAGGGGGCAAGGCCATGGATGGCCTTAAAGGTGAGGACGAGGATCTTGAACTCGATCCTCTGGGGATGGGGAGCCAGTGGAGTCGGGCGAGGGTGGGATTGATGGGGTCGCGGAGCCTGGTTCATGAGAGTACACGAGCTGCAGAGTTTTAGATAATCTACAGCTTGTGAAGGGAAGAGTTGGGAAGGCCGATGAGGAAGGAGTTCCCGTAATCAAGCCTTGAGGTGACGAATGCATGGATGAGGGTTTTGGCAGCCTGAGGCAATGGCGGACTCTGGCAATATTGTGGAGGTGGTGGTAGGCAGTACCGGTCATGGCGCGGATGTGGGGGAGATAGGACAGTTCAGGGTCAAACGAGATACCCAGGTTCCTGATTGGCTTAGTGAAGTTGAGTGTGCAGCCGTGGAGGCTGATGCTGCCAGCGCCTGAGGTGCGGAGGCGCTGGCGCGAGCCAATCAGGAGGGCTTCGGTCTTGCTGACATTGAGTTGGAGAAAGTTGGCCCTCGTCCAGGACTTGATGTCGGACAAGCAGTCAGTCAGGACGCCAGTAGTCCTGGAGTTGAGGGTGGAGGCAGAGAGATGGAGTTGGGTGTCATCCGCATACATGTGGAAATTTACCCCATGTCTGCCGATGACGTCACCAAGGGGGAACATGTAGAGGGTGAAGAGGAGGGGACCGAGGACAGAGCCCTGAGGAACACCGCACGAGACAGTGCGGGGGCTGGAGGAGAAACCTTTGCCGCGATGAAGTGGAGGTGGTGTGAAAGGTAGGACCTGAACCAATCAAGGACAGAACCTTGAAGGTTGAGGTGGGAGGAGACGCGGTGGAGGAGGATTGAGTGGTCCACGGTGTCAAAGGCAACAGAGAGGTCAAGGAGGATGAGGAAGCAGAGGGAGCCCTGGTCACACATGGTCAGGATGTCGTTTGTGACCTTGATCAGAGCAGCTTCCGTGCTGTGCGCAGCACAGAAACCCGATTGGAGGGGTTCATGGAGGGAGTGAGAGGAGAGGAAAGAGCGAAGCTGGGAGGCAACGGCTCTTTCAAGGACCTTGGATAGGAAGGGGAGATTTGAGATTGGCCGTTAGCTGGATAGCTGTGATGGGTCGAGGGAAGGTTTCTTCAAGGTGGGGGTGATAGTGGCTGTTTTGAGGGGCAAAGGAACAGTGCCAGATAACAGGGAGAGGTTAATGATGTCAGCGAGTAGTGGGCCAAGGAGGTGGAGCTGGGATTTAAGGAGAGGGGTGGGGATGGGCTCTCCCCAGGGTCAGCTAGGACTTCAAGCTCAAAGCCTGAAAGTAGGGCTTGAGCCCACAACTTTATGACCCAACGGCAAGAGTACTACAAACTGAGCCAAGCTGACGAGATGGTTAATTGTTGCCAAATTTGGGTTTTAAAATATGTACCAGATTCTCAGAGGAAGGGGAGCTGGAATAAGGTGTTTTCAGCAGTCAGCTTCTTACCTCTCTTTGTTATAGTATGCCATACAATTAATTTGTATTAGATTTTACATAGTAATTTATGTGATTTTCAGGTAATGTCCCTTAAACAAGCTTTGTATAAACTCAGTATTCATTTTAGAATAGCTCCTTTTTGTTTTCTAGTTCAAGATCATTAACTTCTAAGTCGTAATTCTATTATGCAAATGAATAATCAGCTGTAATCATTATGTAGTATTTAAGGTACACAAGAGATAATCCTGTGAAACAGAATATTTATGACAAGATTGCATATCTGGGGTTGAATGTTAATACTTATTACTGTTGTGAGTTACCAGGGAATCAGCAACACACAGCTATTTTCATTCATTGCAAATGTAGATCCATGTTGTAGAGCTGCAGCCTTTCTAGGACAAAAACAATAAATAGAAAGAAATGTTTTATACCATCTTTGCAAACATCCCCAACTTCACTGATGATACATGCGTTCTTGTAAAATTCTAGTTAAGTAACTGGTGAAGGTAAGAGTTGCACACGTTATCTATCAAAAATAAAAGGGATAATATTAAAGCCATAATAAATGGCAAGCTAATATTAAAAGAGGGAAATGACAACTTTGGGATCTATCCCACACCGATCACTACAAATAATGATTTTCTAATATTTTTCATTTTCATCACGTACTGATGATGAGTTTTATTTCATCGATAGGCTTTGTCTGTTCATAGATGCTTCTGCAAGTACAAAGCAGTGATAAATTTGACAGTGCTAGTTCTGCACGGACCACAACACCCACTTAGGCGATTGGCTTTTAGGTTGAAAATATCCTGCACCTCCAAGTAATTGACAGGCTGGGCAACTATCAACAAGGCCTTGGATTACTGCAGACTTGCCTGTCTGCCTGCCTGCCTGTCTTTATCAAGCTGTTAAACCTATCTTGCATGTTATAAGGAAACATCTATGGGGTCAATACTGGAATCCGGATTTGAGCAGTTTTCAGTTTGTGACTATCTGATTGCAAGATTTGCAAAACCGTGAATTGTAAGGAGGCAAAGTCAGAAAATGCCAAGAAGAAAACACCTACCAAAGTAATGGTAGCTCAATGAAGGGGAAACATCCAGGAACAAAAGTCAGGCATAGAACAAATCTGGAAAATATATAAAATTGCCCACTTGCCATTATCATTATTCCAATATTGGCCAGTCAAGAAAAAACTGCTCAAAAGTTCCTGAGGATACATGAAGCGTTTGATGCTATTGTGCCACTTGCACAATGAGATCATAAATTTCATGCATTCCTTGAACAGAAAAAATGGAAATTTCAGTATTTTTAAATGCTCAAGTGCCAGCATATTACATGAGTGCCAGTGATTGTTTCCAGTGTGCTGACAGTGCTGGCATTCCGTCACAGCAAATTAAATGGGACAGAATCAGTTACTTGGGCTCCATTTGAAACTGGTTCTCAAAAGTGTAAATTAAATCCAGCTTTAAACGACAGGCAGTCCTTGTGATTTTCACCCATTGGTGTGCTAGCTTCATTGAAAAAAAATGAGGAATAGTGCATCCAAAGGTGAGCAATATGTCTTTACGGAAATATAGGGAACACCTATTATAAAACCCCTTCAATTCAGCACTGCATTGCTTATAGCCCAGTTCAACTGTGGAACCATGTTAACCGGAAGTATGGTACATCCAGCTTCTGACGATGACAAGCTGGCTTTCCCCACTAAAAAATGGCCCACTTCTAATGTCCCTGTCACTTCCTGCATGCTGTACCAGAAGTACAGCTGATGTCACTTCACAAGATGAGCAATTTTACATGTGCAGGATGTAGGAAGTGACATTAGCAGCATTTCTTGCACATAGTGCGCAACACCCAGGGGTGCAGCATTGGCCATTTTTCCTCATCTCATTTATAACATGGCTGCTGAGACATTAGACCAAGCCAATCACAAGATTTCCCTATGTATTTTAGAAAGTGAGGAAGTCGCTGAACAATACAGAGGGTTTTTGAAGTCGACTTTTTTTTCCTCCTTGTTTTGATGGTAAGAGCATGTCGATTCAAGAGCTCAATTTTCCCTAAATAACTAATGTTGTGTGTATTGGATTCCGATCAAACAGTAAAACCAGTCACTGTATTTGCCAAATTCTACTCAGCTGGAGAATTGTTTGTGTACTTTTAATAGACTGGAACCAATGAAATCATGTACATCCGAGGTTGAAATGACTTCAGTTTAATGACCAGTGACATTTATCTTAGATGATTAGATATAAAAATTGATGAAGTCTTCTATACAATACAGCACAAAATAAAATGAAAAGGGCTGAATATATTAGTTATAGTTATGAAATAAATTTGGATGAAATTTTTTGCTTGGGATTTTATTGATTTACTCTATCCTTCTCTAAGGGCTAAGCAAAGTAAGGAACGTTGCAGGTGTTATGAGGAATGGATTTTCACCCAAGCCTGACCTTCAGTCTCGAGAGACTGAACGCCAAACCGTTCAGAGACTCAAGGACAAATGTAAAGAACAGGCCAGACAGCTACAATCTCTTCACGGGCAGTTGAAAAGAGCAAGCCTTAGTATTGAGGTGCTCGCTGTGACAACGCAGCATTTCCATAATAAAGTGAGTACATTTGTTGTTGGAAATTGTTTTTTGGGGCTTTGTACACAAATACCAAAACATCATTAATTTCTTTAAGTGGAGAAATGCTGACTTTCATGGCTTTTTTTTAACAGATGTATTTAATGCTGGATTTAACTTGTAGCTCCTGCTACAAAAGACGGATGATACTCTATGTAGTCTCTGCTGTTTTGTAACCATACTGACTTTGGTTCCCGTGCCTGCGGGGAAACCTTTTTTAAATAATAGTAGCAAGAGTCCAAGTATTGCTGTGGAATAGGAGTCAATTTGCTCTTGGCATTTTTACTACCTTTCCCACTGTTATTTACGTAATGGAAGGGTCAGGTAGAGATGCCCTAAGCTTTCACGTACACGGGTAACACTATTGAATATGGAATGTGATAGTGTCATGTCTCTCCTTCATCCATAATGTCAACAGCCAGTGAAGGCAGAAGAGACATCTGGAGGAACATCTGGTTTAATTTTAGGTATCTCCAAGTACATTAGGTCTTCTGTTGTGCTTGTTGTCAGGCCAGCAACAGCAGAAAAGCATAATCTAAACCCACCAAAAGCATAATATTAACTCATACCAACTAAGATTTAGGCAGAGATTGGCTCAGTTCATTTTAATTGTGATCATAGCAATCATTAGTTTGAAATGATGGTTATTACCTTCCATTGAACCCAATGTTACCTCCATTCTCCAAAATTGAATGACATTAGTGCCATTAACACTACATTTATTCTAAATTTATAGGTGATTTGCAATGAAATTGCTGGCACCAGTGATTATTTACTCTTCTATTAAAGTATAAAGGAAACTTCTCAGTTTAGAAGTGGGCTACAAATGAGGGTGGAATGTATTGTATCTTGTGTAAATGTAACTTTAATGCGGTAATATTATTTCGTATTGTATCTATGTCGCCAATACAACAAAATTGGTTAACCTTTCTCTTATTACATTGCCTGCAATATTTCATATCCTTTTAAAAACAAATCACATTTTTGTCATTTTAAGTACACAATACAATGCCACATGTCTCTTTCACACACCATTAACTGTAACAGATCCAGGTACATCCCACAATACTTAATTATTTTTAACTACCAGACAGTGGATTACGAGTTTAAGCAGTATTGGTAATTAAAGAGGGAAGTCTTTACAGTCTTTACTCTTTACAGACTTTAAAATATGTACTTCACTGAATGCTTTTTCAGTGGCTTTGAGATGGTCAGTTAAGTTAAGTGAGAAGCAGGAGGGCTGAGAGTATAAACACCGAAATGTTGAGTTAAATCACAGAACCAGTTTTGAAGTAATCTGTAGTTTACATGCATCATAAATTAAATCCAAGCACCATGGCCTGGTTGAGCCACAATTTCCTGCAACCTAATATGGACAAGATAGAAGCCATCATCCTTGTTCCAGTCATCATCTCGTTGCTGGTGGGTCTGACCTATTCAACCTCCCAGCCTCTCTCTCAAACTCACTGAACAAGTGTGCAACCTTGGTGTGTGGCTCGATCCTCAGCTCTCCTTTCTCCCTGATATCCAATTCCTGACCAAGTCTGTGTTTCTTCACACTCTGTGAAATTGCCTTCCTCTGCCACTATCTCACACCAAACGCCACTGAATCCCTTATCCACGCCTTTGTTACTTCCTTTTTACTTGGCCTTTTCAAATGGATTCCTCGTTGGTCTTCCCATCGCCACCATCCAAAAACTCCAATTTATCCAAATCTCTGCCACCCACACCCACAACTGTATCATCAAACTCCAATGCCATCTCCCTAGTCCTCACCAGTCTCCATTGTCTCCCAGTGGATTGTTTTCAAGTTTCTCACCCTCACCTGTAAATCCCTTCATGGACTAGCAATTGCCCATCCTTCTGATCTTCTCTTACTCTTCTCTCTCTCTGCTCACTCCTCCACTCAGGTAACTCGGGCTTGATGGATATTCCCCGCCCACTATACATTACCATCAATGAGCTGAACCTTCAGATTCCGCACCTCTGGAACTCCCTCCATCTTGCCCCATATCTATCTATATTTAAGTACCATATTAAAGCTTGTCTCTTGTTTCTACAGGCTTTTTCCAACCACACCTTAGGGATGGTTGGGGAAGGCCTGCGGAAACCAGAACTTGTTGACCTGTAAAATACAAGTTAAGCCCTCAGTATGCACACATTTAGAATCATTGGGACTTTTACATCCTCAGCCACTGTTTGCTTTACTGACTCTGCCATTTCTGTATCAGTTACTTTATCTTGCTATTTTTGAATTCTGGTTACCACTAGCTGCACACCTGCAATTCCTCGCTCTTCTCATCTGTACTCTTATATTGCTTTTCTTAAATTCCCTTTAAACTGATGCTATGGCTTTAATAGAAATGTGTAGTAAAGAATTCCATGTTCTAATAATAAAAACAACAGCTTGTGCTCCTATTATGTAGAGTTCAGTAGTGTATTGGTTAGAGCACTTGCCTCGCAAGCAAGAGGACCTGGGTTCAATTCCTGGGCAGCACAAAACATTAGGCAAGTTTCCTTACTCCACATGCCTCTGTTACCCAGCAGTAAGTATAAACCCATGTGTCAGTCAATTTGAGGATCGCTTTTGAGGTAATAATCCCTTCAAATTTTTTTAAAAATAATAATAATTTGGTCACTCAATCCACAACTGTTTGTGGGACACTGCTATGCTCAATTAGCTGCTACGTTTCACCCACAAAATATACAGTCAACTCACTTTACAGTTTATTCTGTGAAGTGCTTTGAGACCTCTCGAAAACATGATAAGCGCGATATCAAATGCAAGGATTATTATTATTTTTATTATAACTTGCATTTACACAGCACCCTTCACATGGGGTAGCATTTCAGAGTGCTATATACCACTACATGAAAATGTTTCTTCAACCTTTAATTGTTCCAGTATCAAATTCTGAACTTATCCTATTTGTTACTAATTCACAAACCAGTAGGTATAAGCTGTCGCTATAACTCAAAATTTGGGGGATATTTGAAGACCTCTATTAGATCTCCTCATTTCCTTCACCGTTCCAGTGAAAACAATGTAATTTTTTGAGCATGTCCTCATAAATCATAACTCCGTCCTTGGTGTTACCTTCAAGTATTCTCTTAGTTGACTAAAGCACTCTGATTCGTCCTCCTAACGTGTAAGGCACTATATGAATATGAATTATATTGTAAATTGTATTTTGTTTTGTATTTGTGTGTAAAAGAGAGGGGTCAATACAGTAAAATTTTAATATTTTACAATATCCATACTAAATTATTTTCTGGACAGTATCTCCCGAGCTCTGTTGTCATTTACATAGACTATTGGGTGAAGAGGATTGATGGTAATCGCTAACCCTGTCTCAATCCTACATTTGTTTAAGAATGGTCTTTATTTAGATAAATCACTGTGCTAATCAGGACTGATCACCACAGCAATGCTTTGATTGAATTACCAAATGGGTGTCATTTATTAAAAAGAATATATGGCTGTCAAAGTCCCAGATGATAGTTCAAGTGGTCATAAATTAGCATCCCAGCACTGCCGATTACCCTGGGTCATTTGTTTCAGTTGGGTAATTTTAATGAACCAAAACACTACATGGAGAATTATGCAGAAGCAAGGTGTTCTATCCAGGGATCAGGAAAATATTGACATTAGCTGAGTCATTTTCGCAAATCTCTTACAAGTAATCACAGGAAATGTTAATGGCAGAATTGGGACATCTATACTAGGTGGAGGAAATATTTTGGAAATGAGCTTGTAAAGAGGGAATAGAAGCGCATAAATAGTATACAACATAGATTTGTTCTCACATGAGGTACACGTGAAGAAGGCCGTTTGGGACAATTTAATCTCAACCTTCTAAATATCGACTCTCCCGTTAAAGCATCAAACTATTTCTTAAATGAGTCCTACATCTGGCCTCTACTCTACCAGCCTTCCTGGTAACCTGTTCCAGCTATTAATTAGTGTTAATATCAAATCTGAGGATCCAATATCTAATTTTCTAATTGTTCATCAAGACTCAATCTTTAGCTGGAATACTACATAGAGTAAGCATAAGAGGCAAAGGAGTAAAAATTGTGACCTGTGTTGTGTTATCAACAGTGATAGTTTGAGTGAAAAATTAACAACTGCAGTTGCTGAAAATCTGAAACAAAAACAGAGCAGCTTGAAATCCACAGTATGTCAATCAGTATCTGAAAGAGCAAGATTAGTTAACGTTTTAGGCGTAATGCTCTTTGATTTCTACAATCTATTAATGATCCATCAATCTGTCTCCTGATTTTATCATTCTCTTAACCACTTCAAACGCTTTGTATTTCTAGGTTTCTTCCCTTCATCCATCCTGTGTGTATAGGATCTCTCTCTGCCATTGTTCCAGTACTGAAAAAAGGTCTTGCTTGACACATCTTTCTCCTTCAGATGGTGATTCACCCGCTGTATGAATTTTCATTATTTTCATTATTTTCTGTTTTTGTCTATAGCTCTCACAGTCAGTGTGGGTGTTCGATGTTTGGTGAGAGTGCTCAGTAGTCTAGATCCTTTACATAACTACTATATCTTTAATGAGGACAAAGAAGTGAATAGCATAGAAGCGAAGTGAACAGCATTTTCATGTTAGAAGCACATCTGTTTTCAGGTGGAAGAGTGACTCGACGGCTACATTAAGCCAAATTAAATACTATTTATTTGAGGTAGTCTCAAGAATGTTAAGCTGTTCCCTTAGCAATGCGACATTTTGCTATGTGGATGTTTTGGATTTTACAGCTATTACTTGTTTGTCACAAATGTAACATTCCTGGATGAGAGCCAACTTTATACAGTTGAACGTCAGCAAAACCAAGTTCCTCCTGATTGGCTCACGCTAGCGCCTCCGCACCTCAGGCACTGGAGGCACCAGCATCAATGGATGCACACTCCACCTCACCAAGTCAGTCAGACTTGTTAGACCCTCAACTGTCCTTTATCTCCCACACATCCGCGT